TTGCCCACTGCCCCTGACTGGCTGGGAGCAGATTTCCACTGCCCTGGAGTGGAGTAGGCGGGCTGCCTGCTCTGGCCTGGCCCAGTACCACCTTTCCTTACCTGTGGGCGGCAGTCTAGGGCAGGGTGGGGAGCAGGACCCGCAAACCCTCATCCCTGAGGCTGGGATCCAGTTAGGTCTTCCCCAGGTTTTGAGAACTGGAGTTTGGGCCACGTGTCTGGGACAGGAGAAGCAGTATCAGTTCAGGAGTCTGTACCCACCTTTTTTGTACAGTAGTGGGAAGGTCCCCAAGGTAAGGCCTCGAGGGGGTTGGGTGGTCAAGCGTAGGAGACTTGTCTTCTGGTCCCCTCACCCCCGTATTTACTCTATCCTCACGGATGTGTTTCTCTACACTGCTCCCAGCACATTTATCTATCTCTACTTTTGTCCCCTCTTGCCCTTCATCTCCTCTTCCTGACATGGCAGACCAGGAAGAACATGGGCTGCAACATCAGATAGGCCTGGATTCAGATCCTCCTCCTAGCACTTACTAGCAGTGTGATCTTGGGCAAATCACTTAACCTCTCTGAGCCTGTTTCTTCATCAGTAAATTACCCACCTCTGGGATCTACACAAGGATAAAATGAGTTAATTCCATTAGAAGCTTGATCTGGTGTGCGTTGGCCTCAGAGAAGGATGATTTTTTTTTTAATTCTAATTTATCTTTTTTTAGATCCTTTTTAAAAAATTCTTGATTGGAGAATAATCGCTTTACAGTGCTGTGTTGGTTTCCTCCATACGTTAACATCAATCAGCCGTGCATATATCCCCTCCCTCTTGAATCGTCCCTCCCACCTCCCACCCCATCCTATTCCAGGCCACCCCTCTTGGTTGTCACAGAGCACCAGGTTGAGCTCCCTGTGTTATATACCAGATTCCCACTGGCTATCTACTTTACATGTGGTAATGTGTATGTTTCAATGCTACTTTCTCAATTCGTCCCATTCTCCTTTTCCCACTGTGTCCACAAGTCTGTTCTCTATGTTTGTGTCTCTATTGCTGCCGTACAAATAGGTTCATCAGTACCACTTTTCTAGATTCGGTATATATGCATTAATATACAATATTTGTTTTTCTCTTTCTGTATTATTTCACTCTGTTAAACAGGCTCTGGGTTCATCCACCTCACTAGATCTGACTCAGATTCATTCCTTCTTATGGCTGAGTAATATTCCATTGTATATATGTATACAACTTCTTTATCCATTCACCTGTCAATGGGCATCTAGGTTGCCTCCACATCCTGACTGTTGTAAGTAGTGCTGCAGTGAACATTGTGGTACATGTGTCTTTTAGAATGGTTTTCTCAGGATACATGCTCATTTGTGGAGTTGGGTCACATGGTAGTTTTATTCCTAGTTTTTAAAGAAATCTCCATATTGTTTTCCATAATGATTTTATCAATTTATATTCCCACCAACAGTATAAGGGGGTTCCCTTTTCTCCACACCCTGCCCAGCATTTGTGGATTTTTTGATGATGGCCGTTCTGACCAGTGTGGGGTGGTACCTCATTGTAGTTTTGATTTGCGTTTCTCTAATAATATGTGATATTGAGCATTTTTTCATGTGTTTATTAGCCATCTGTATGAAAGGATGATCTTTTTTTTTCTAAGTGAGGGCACTGATTCACACCCAGACCCCAAGTCCAGTGCTCTCTGCTTCATAGGGCTGCCTCTGTTGTGGGCTAGAGAAGCAGGAGAGTAGAGACAGGTGGTCGGGAAGGGCCTGGCTGGCTTCGGCTGGCTCCAAGGAGCTGGTCCCCATGGAGGCCTGTGTGGAGTCCACCCCCTGCTGCTTCCGGGGGCCTGCAGACTAGGGATGAGGTTGAGCCAGAGGCCTTCCTCTGGGGCCTGTGGACCTGAGCCAATTTGCATGGGGGCTATAAATAGTTGGCTCACCTTGTTTTTTGTGCCATCACTCCACCGCCTGGCCTTCCCACCAGTGTTCAGATGCTTTGCAAGGTAGGTGATGACTCTAGCTCCGCTCTGCAGGGAGCCCCATGTGCCAGGGCCCAAGACCTCTCCTTAGGGTCTCATGGTGATCGATGGAAAGTGATGTCTGCTTACAGTGTCTCTCTTCCTCTGGGGATCCACACAGTGCAGTTGAGGTGGAGATGGTGTTGGAACCTGGCTGGGGCCTGTGCTCTAGTTTTAGTCCTAGTTAGTTGGGGCTAGGTGACATCACCCTGGGTTACTGCCAGGTAGCCCCAGGGCAGCCCGTGGTCCTCTTCCTCATGATGCTGCGGTCAGGCTGTGCAGGTTTGGGGCCAGGACAGGGCCCACTGTGGTTGTGGTTTTCCCTCCAGTGGCTTCTAACTGACTGCAAGCACCAGTTGTTCTGAGTGCTGCAGAGATGGAGGGCAGGCTGATAACTGTCTCTGCCGTGGTCCTGTGGACGGCTGGCTCCTGCTAGGGGACCCAGAGCCCATGGGCCACCTGGACTGGGCCCTGAGGGGAGTGGGGTGTGGGTGAGGGAGAGGAGGAGCCAGCCTGCGGGCGCTGAGCCCACTGGCCCCTTCAGGATGAGCAGCTCCATTCTTGGAGACTTGAGTTTTCCTCTCTGAGAGGTAGGGTCAGTTATCAGGACTGTCTTCCCAGGCTACTAGGAGCCTGGAGACCTGGATGTGGTAAGGATGTTAGTGTACTTTGTAAGCTGTGAAGGACGATGCGCAGAGGAAAGAGGGCTGCTATTAGCAAGAAGGGCTGACAGTGGCAAGAGGCCCCTACCCTGAGTCTTGTGGGGTTGGTGTTGGCTGTACAAGTTCGCATCAATGCAGCAGCCCTCCGGCAAGGCACTGTGCCTCATCTGGGGGATGGGGGTGACCGAGACTCGGGCCAGGTGACTCTCAGAGTGCCACCGCCAGGACTGTTGGGAAGCCTGAGGCTGAGCCATGTCTGCTGAGGGTCAGGCCCTGGAATGTGGTTGCAGACACGAGGCAAGTGTGTGCTGTGTAGAGGTCATGCTGATCCTTCCGGAACCCCAGACCACACAGGGTGACAGGAGGAGCGCAATAGCCTTTTGCTTGGAAATTTGAGACCCTCACCCGGGCTCCGACATGCACTCCCAGCCAGGCCTGTGCAGCTCACCGTCCACTGCAACACTGACTGTGTACCCACCGCCTGCCACCCACTCACACGTCCTCACAGGCACACACATCTCCATGGCCGTGGAGTCACACCCACATATATGGCCGCCCCCCCTTCCCCTAACACCAGCTTGCATACTCATGCGTGCTTGGGGCCCAGGGAGGAGGCGGCAGCAGCCCACAGATGGCTTTCCCTCCCTGCCTGCTGAGTGGTCAGTGCGGCTGGTCTCAGACGTGAGCTCACACACCCACACTCACTCCTTCTGAGGAGGAGCCAGGCCCGGGCAAGGGACATGGTGGAGTCTGCCCTGCCTGGCCCCTCTTCTGTGTTCTGGTGGCTGGCTTCAGAGGACTGGCTGGACCGTTGGGCTGGGCTGCAGGCTGAGGTCAGAGTTTCCTGTGAGCTCATCTGGGCTTGGAACTCCCAGCGGGCCTGGCTGCTGCTCTGTGGCCATGAGGAGGAGCTGGGGGAGACGTCCCGGGGCCAAGGTGGTGTTGCCTATGCAGACAGGCATGTGTGGCGGGGGGATAGGGGTACATGTCTTAGTCTGCCTCTGTGCCATCTTATGTTCAGGGTGGAGCAAGGCTGTGTATATGTGGATATACGCGAGTGAGCATTCCTGCAGCCACGGTGGTGGAACTCCCCTCTATGGACCCTGGACCCTGAGCCAGTGTCTGGACAGGTGTATGAGTGTGCACCTGTGGGCTTGCACAGCTGAGCATCCTCCATGATGACAAACCAAAAGACCCTCAGGGTGACCCTCATGGTCACCTGTCATGACCATTGATTTGAGGAACTGTGAGGAGTGGGGGCATGTGGGGCCAACGTGTGCGGTATAAGAAGCAAATTCAGCATTATGTTTAATATTAAAATAGTTGTATAGTTGGGAAAAATTTAGTGTAAGAGTGCAGGCAACTTTCCAGGTAGGCAAGAGGCGCCTGAACCCAAGGGGCTTGGGTTCAGTAGTGTCAGGCGTGCCGATCTGGGTGGGGCTTTTCACTACCCTGGTCCCAGATGAAATGGGGACTTAATTAGTAGAATCCCAGCTTTAGGTTCTGCTTCATCCTCAGGATTTCAGTTTCCTGTAGGGAAAGTGGGGGTGATCATCTTGACCCTGGTTGTCTATTTGGGTGCTATGCCCCGTCGCTAAGTCGTGTTGGACTCTTTGTGACTCCATGGTCTGTAGCTCACCAGGCTCCTCTGTCCATGGGATTTCCCAGGCAAGAGTACTGGAGTGGGTTGCCATTTCCTTCTCCGGGGGATCTTTCTGACCCAGGGATCGACTTGTGTTTCCTGTACCGTAGGTAGATTCTTTACCACTGAGCCATCAGGGAAGCCCTGTCTGCCTAGGTAGTTATGAGCAAACACCAAGCTATGAAGACCGAGCGGGGCTGCAGGGGGCAAGGAGGATGGGGCGCTGCCTTCCCATCTGGGCTGCCACTGAGGTGCTGGAGCCCAGCGTATCCTCGGCGCCTGACCCCCCATAGCAGGTGCCCAGCCGCTGGCTATTAAAGGAGGCACTGAACGACTGACTCCAGATAAATAAGGTGGAAGTCACAGGCTCGCGTGTCTCCAGGGCCCAGGTAGGATTTGGAGAGAACTGTAAGCAGGGCTTTGAACTAGAGTGAACTGGCAAGGGTGCCCAACCAAGGGGGCGGTGCCAGCCAGACATTGCCCAGTGGGCCTGATGTTACACCTTCCAGTTTCATCAGGGAAGTCACAAATGTCGTCTTACGTAAAACTCAGTTTTAATGTTGGCAACTAGGACTAGTGCCTTTTAAGCACCATGTGGAAGCTCTGAGGGGAGTGGGAACCTGACCACCCTCCCCAGGCTGTGCCTGCCGCCTGCCTCAGGTCTTCTGTCTCCGCAGCCCCACTGCAGGCCCCAGCATGGCACCGTTCCTGCGCATCTCCTTCAACTCCTACGAGCTGGGCTCCCTGAAGGCCGCGGATGAGGCAAGCCAGCCCTTCTGTGCTGTGAAGATGAAGGAGGCTCTCAGCACAGGTAGGGCTGGAGGCTGGACCCCACCCATTTTGCAGTCATTGGCAACAGGGAATTGCCAGTGGGGCAGGGAATTCAGAGCCAGGAGGCAACAGCAATGGAAGGAACTGTGTCTTGTTCTCCTAGAACGTTTGAGGGATCCTTCTCTTCCTTGTCCTCATCTCCCTGCCCAGCTCACCTGGCAGTGCAGGGCAGTAGAGACTACCCACTGCCTATAGGCCCTCCTGCACTGGCTACATGGAACCTTCTCTGGGGCCCAGAGCTTCTGGTTCCTCCCCATTGGTTGTTTTGCCAAGAATGGGCTCCTTGCAGGAGCTCCATGTGTCCATCTGTGCCAGGCCCTGTGCTGGGAACAGAGGACACTGTCATGCTCCAAGGCTGACCAGGCTCTGCCCTCATGGGGCTCACAGTGAGGTGGGGGAGCCAGACAGTGAATCTTGTAATAGGGAAATCCAGACAAGGTACCATCCCAGGCTGCAGTCAGGAAGGGCTTCCTGGAAGAAGCAGACATCTCACATCATTCCTGCTTGCTTCTGTCCTCGCCTGGTGAACCCTGGCTCATCCTTTAGATCTCAGCTAAGCTGTCTCTTCCTTTAGGAAGGCTTCCCTGACCCTTAGGCTGAGGCAGGCCACCTGACCATGGGTAGGTCTAGACCCAGTGACATTACTCTCTTCAGTCTTTTCACAGCTGTGATTTAATATTCACTTGAGGGGTGAACTGATTCATGTCTCTGCCTAGAACTGGGGCTCTAGGACAGGCACATGACATGTCCAGTATCATGGCTGGTGTGTGGGAGCCCGCAGCAGTATTCACTGAGTGAATGCATAAGGGAAGGCGACACCTAAGAGGGGCTGGAGGAAGAGGGTCACAGGAAAAGGAAATAGCAAGAACAAAGGCCCAGGGTGGAACCTAGTGGGGGCGCCCTCAGGGAACGGCCAGCGTTTCTGTGTTCTGGAATAGATCATGAGTGAGATGGTGAGGCGTGCAGAGCCCAGTTGTGAGGGCTGAGGCATGGCGACCCGGGCCCTCGGGGAGAGAGCAGGCAGATTCCGCAGGATTCAAGGCCACGGGGAGGTCAGGGAGGGAGGGGCGGAGGGGCCCTCGCCCGACCTCGCCTGCCGGCCTACTGCAGAGCGCGGGAAGACGCTGGTGCAGAAGAAACCCACCATGTACCCCGAGTGGAGGTCCACGTTCGACGCCCACGTCTACGAGGGCCGCGTCATCCAGGTTGTGCTAATGCGGGCCGCTGAGGAGCCGCTGTCCGAGGCAACAGTGGGTGTGTCCGTGCTGGCCGAGCGCTGCAAGAAGAACAATGGCAAGGCTGAGTTCTGGGTGAGGAGCGCAGCCACGGGCGCACAACATGGGTGGGCAAAGGGAGCAGGGAGGGCCAAGGGCACCCCAGGCTCCACCCACCAACAACCTGGGTTTGAATCCTGGTCCTGGGAGTCATCAGATCCTTAGCTTCTCTGAGTCCGTTTCTAAATCTGTAAAAGGAGAAGCTGCTAAAGAGACCTACCTTGGGGTCGGTTGTTCCAAGGAATGAAAAGCTGAGGGTGAAGGGCTTACTGCAGCACCTGGCCCCCAGGCAGCTCTCAAGAGAGCCCTCCTGGTGTTGTGGCTGACTTTTTCCCTTTTAATTTTGCAAAGGCAGGATGTACAGAGTTAAACATCTCAAGCTGTCCAAAAGGGCAGCTCCTGGCTCCAACACCAGGCCCCAGTCCCCACTTCCCAGAGGCTCCCATTGTTCCCAGTTCTGTTTGGAATCTTCGCAGATATTCCAGGCCCAGGCAGGCACTGGGGAACACCAGTTACGATCTTCCACAGCAAAGGAGTGGGGAGCAGGATCATAGCCTGCCACTCACCTGCCCAAACCTGGACTTTGCACCCACATGTGGCCGTGTGTCCCTTGTGGCCACAGGATACCCATGCTGGCAGAGCATCCCTACCCCCTGGGGTTACATGTGGTCCTGCAGCCAAGATGCAGCCCCCCAGGAAAGACCCTGTGACCATGGAGACTCTGCTCAGCCTCCAGTGAGGGGTGAAGGAACTGGCCAGGACAGAGGTTGACCTGGGGCTGCACCCAGTCTTGAATAATCAGGCAGAGACACCTCGTGTGTCTGTCCAGTACCCCAGCGGACACAGTTGGGCTCCAGGCCCCAGGTCTGGGGAAGCTGAGGGCCCTGTCCTGAGGACCAGCCAGTCTGTGTGAGGAGACTGGCCACAGAGAGAGAACCAGCAGCCTGTTTCAGTGCGCGTGTGCCTATGTCTATCTGGGGGGGCGGGGAGGGGTACCTACATTCTAAGATCCTCGTGAAGGGGGTGGCCGGGGTTGAGGGTGGGGAGTTTCCCTTCCCGCTCTGTTCCCAGGGCCAAGTGGCCACGCTGGGTGTGGGCTGGATCCTTTCACTTCCCCAAATGTAATAATACCCCAGGATGAGGGTGGGGGCGGGGCTCAGGGGTGGGGCCCTGCCCACTCTGGGCAGACAGGTGGCCGGCCGGAGGCCAGGACTCCCTGGGCCTTGAGGGACCAACCATGGGGGCGGGTTCTGAGTCTGGCTTGGCCCAGGCCCGCCCTCATTGACTCCCCCACCCTCACCCCTGCAGCTGGACTTGCAACCCCAGGCCAAGGTGTTGATGTCAGTGCAGTATTTCCTGGAAGACGTAGGTAAGACCCTCCCTACCTGGGCTGGGGATGGAGGTTCAGAGGCCAGAATGGAGGTTTAGGGAAGCACCTTCCATCAGCGGTCTGGCTGGGACTGCCCTGGGAGGGACTGAAAGGGTGAGGCCCCTCCCAAGGGCCAGGGTTGACTTCTTTGCTCACCGGCCCCCAGATTGCAAGCAGTCTATGCGGGGTGAAGACGAGGCCAAGTTCCCAACAATGAACCGCCGTGGAGCTATCAAACAGGCCAAAATTCACTATATCAGGAACCACGAGTTCATTGCCACCTTCTTTGGGCAGCCCACGTTCTGCTCCGTGTGCAGAGAGTTTGTTTGGTGAGATTGGTTGTGCCCACCAGGGTGGGGCAGCGGGGAAGGAGGGCCCCCATCCCTGGCCTTTCCCACACTCACCCAGACTGGCCACTTGCCTTTCAGGGGTCTCAACAAGCAAGGCTACAAGTGCAGGCGTAAGTGTCTCCACGGCCTGGTGTGTATGCGTGCATTCACAGCAAAGTCTGTGTCCCTGTGTTGGGATGGTGTGTCTGCATGAAGCCTGTGTGTGTGTTTGCGTGTGTGGTGTTCCAGGCGGGTGGGCGTGTGTGGATGGTAACTGCATCAGTGAGTGCCAGAGCTGGAGTGTCTCTTCCCAGCGTTTCCTGTTCAGTGATGTCACATTGGTGGCCTGAAAGAGGCCCCAGTGGAGTACACACACAGAACCTGCCAGCACTGCACATCAGGGCTCTTTCCCCCCGAGAGGCTATCAAAGCTTTGCCAGTGCATCCCTGGCTACGCATGTGCCCCTCTTTAGACCTGTGTGCATCTGGGTACACACGTAACCAGCACACCATGACGGTGCATGCACAAGGTGGTGTGGGCCACTGGTGGTGAGCAGAGACTCTGGAGCCAGCCTGCCTGGGTCTGAACCCCAGCTCTGCCACTTCCTTGCTGTCAGACCTTAGGTACAGTTACTTAACCTCTCTGTGCCTCAGTTTCTTCATCTGTGAAATGGGGTTAGTAGAGTCATTGTGAAGACCAAATGGGATAAAATACGTAAAGTTGTGTTCTAAGTGTGAGTGGTGCACTGTAAGCATCCTGTGTAAGAAGTCTTGTCCTTCCTACCCTGCTGTGTATGTGTGCCCGAGGGTCTCTGGGTAGGGGTGCATCTGTGTGTGGGGAGGGGGGCAGGCAGGGTTAGAGGGTGAGAGAGCTTAGGAGCTGTGTGCCATCCTGGGCCACAACAAGGACTCCCCTGCCTCCAGTTCGCAGTGCCAGCCCACCCCATCCTTCCCTTCTGCCCTACTCCCTGCCCACCAAGACTCCTTGAGCCTTCCCTAATCTCTGAGGACTCCCCACCCCAGGTCAGCCTGTCCTCCTTGCCTCATCCTTCCCAGGCTCCTCCCACAGGGACTGGCGGGAGGAGAGAAAAATCAAGCTCCGGGGCTGAGGCCTCTGTGGAGTGAGGGTGTGGGTGGTCAGGGAGAACATCCCTGCCCACCAAGACTCCTTGAGCCTTCCCTAATCTCTGAGGACTCCCCACCCCAGATCAGCCTGTCCTCCTTGCCTCATCCTTCCTAGGCTCCTCCCACAGGGACTGGCGGGAGGAGAGAAAAATCAAGCTCCGGGGCTGAGGCCTCTGTGGAGTGAGGGTGTGGGTGGTCAGGGAGAACAGTGGCTTTGTGTAGAGGGCAGGACTGGGCCGGCGGGCGCCAGCTCACAGACTCTGCCCCTCCTGGGCCTTCCCGTCCCCCTTCTGGGCCTGTGCCTCCTCAAGAATGTAATGCTGCCATCCACAAGAAATGCATCGACAAGATCATCGGCCGGTGTACAGGCACTGCAGCCAACAGTCGGGACACCATAGTGAGGCTGGGCCCAGGGCAGGGGTCGGGGGGTGGCGGGGATCCGAGCTGTCCCCACCCCTTCCCTGTCGGGTCTCCCTTCCTCCCTGTTTCCCTTCATCCTTCCTTCTCCTGGGTTGACCCCTGGGATCCCTGGATTTCCCATTCCCTGTGGGGCCCTCTTGGGAAATCTACCATGTGTGGGGTTGGGTTGGGGAGAGTTAGGGGGCAAGGAAGGGGCTGGAGCTGGCAGGTGAGCTTTGACCTGTGACCCTGCATCCCAGTTTCAGAAAGAACGTTTCAACATCGACATGCCGCACCGGTTCAAGGTTTATAACTACATGAGCCCCACCTTCTGTGACCACTGTGGCAGCCTGCTCTGGGGGCTGGTGAAGCAGGGATTAAAGTGTGAAGGTGCATGCGGCGGGGGCGGGGGGTGGG